ACTTTTTTTTTTTTCTTTTTTTGCCTGAAAAAATTAGAGGCGCAACTATCGGAGAAGAAATTTAAAGAAGTTGCTAGGTAAAAGAATGACTGTGTAAAACAGGTTGTTACAAATGACCGACAGGAATCGTTGTGTCTCTAATGACTTTGAGACAAGATCTGAAAGTCGGATCGGTTCCTTTTCCCTTTGTCTTTCCATCTAACCGTGGCATCTACAAACTTTTGCGCGTCGCACCGGTGTTCTTTGGTCCCGTCTTTCGGGAAAATCTCGTTCCTCAACGGTTCCAATAGGATTTTGGTAATCTGGCAAATTCCCTAGAGACATTCCTAATTATCTGGGTTCTCGTAAAGAATCACGACGATGTTCGTTTTCGTGTATTTGCACACCGAATACAAGGCTGACACGGCAAGAGCGAAAACGAAGATTTTTCCTAAATAATAATAGCAAGAAAGTCAGGAAGTAGTTTTAAAAATATCATAAAAATAAAATTTCTAAAATAAAAAATAAAAATTTCTAACATTTCTAGCATTGAATTAGAGTAGGGATAGCAAATGTACATTCCTACAATTACAATCGTTCTATACTTTTCTTGTTCCCCTTTCAAATCGTTCTCATTTCTTCATCCTCGTTATTCTGTCAAAGACCGACTCGTCATCAACAAACATTTTCCTTCTGAATTTTGTAAGACTAGAAAGATTCTAAATTTGCAAAAAATTTATAAAAAGATCTAAAAATTCGAAACTTGAAGGACCCTTTTTAGAAAGAATTAGAATAGCACGCAATTCGATCTACTTATCATCACTTGCTATTTTCAAGCTTCTATATTTAGATTTAGAAAATTATTTTCTTATTATCTAAGTTACTTTGAAATTTTAATAATATTGATTTACGTACATTTTCTAATATTATATTGTATGACTTTCGCTTTTTTTCCTCAAACAATTAGTTTTTTTCACTAATATTTAATTTATCTTAATTAAGGATATACATTCGGATAATCGAAATTCGAATGATCGACGTTCCACTGTACTCCAAAAAATAAAAAATTTCCAACACCATCTTGGAGTGTCTGACGATCGCGCCAATTTTCCTACAAACATAATGCAAAACAAAGTCTTCGGCAACTCATTACCGACACTGGTCATGACCGGTGGACTCATGATGGAACGCAACGATCTGTTCACGACGCGGCAATTAACGATTAATTAAATGCAATGACTGCACCGCGAACACCGTGACTGATGAACGAACGAAACAATGTCTGGGTCTTGTTGATAGCTCTTGCGGAACCAACGCGAACGATCGCGTAGGTGCGTGCATCGTGTTCGCGTTTCGCGACCCTGTAACCGCGCTCCCCTGATGAAAGTTCCATCGTGCACCCTCAGATTGATGGTCCGTTCGCGAATATACTCGCCAATGCCGAGATCGTTGAGTTGCGTTCGCCCGCGATCGTTAATAATCGCCCGTGGTTTTCGCTCTTGAAAAATCGAAAGGTACTCTCCAACTTTTTTTTTTTTCTTTAATTTCGTCCGGATACCAGATACATCACATTCGCGACGAGATCGTCGTGACTTTTTTTTTTTAACTCTTTAAGTGATATACTGAATTTGGAATGTAATGTTCTGAAAATTTCTTCAAGAGATTCTTGAAAATTCGAATGTTGAAGCGAATGAATTTTCGACGAAAAAAAAGTTAAATTATCCGAGTTTAATTTATCTCGAATTTGTCAATTAACAAATCCCCCGCTAGAGTTTGAAAAGTCTTTGAATATTCACAGAGTAATATTTCAAACGACACCACGTTCAATTTGTAAGCGTGACAAAACTAGCGTTTAAAAAAAGTACCAGAAGCACCTCGGGTGATTGAAATGATAAAACGGCGATGACGTCACCCAGGCATAAATTACGACTTCTAATAAAAATGGTCCCTGAATTCGGTTCAAAATGCAGCGGGCAAAGTCGCACGTGTTCGTACCGCGGTCCGATCATCCGGTAACACAAGAGGATCGATGTGTGTGCCGGAGGAACGAACGGGTCGTGCTGTTAGTAAGCGACAGAAGGTGGATGGAAAGCATCATTCAGACGTACCTCCTCGGTGCACCAAGGAGCCACGAGTCCACGGCTTTATGATAGTTATTAATATCGAATAGTCAGCCACCGTGCCCATTACGGACATAATGGGACGCAATTTTTTCCCGCGACAATGAGGCACCCCGTTAAACACTCGATGTGCATGCATTATTCACGCGCATGATTAAGCTTCGTTAATATGTCCAATGGCAGCGAGTGAACGCCGCGAGAGACAAAAAAAAACACGTGCAACGCGAAACACGACCGATTTTACTCGCGATAAAAAATTCACGACGTTACGCCAGAAATTACCTAAACGCGAGAAACATACATTTAAATGGAGGTTAATATTTAGTAAATAAGTAATACAAGTTCTTTGTTTCGCTGTCACTTCCTCGAAATTTCTCGAACTTTAAATAGGAGTTAAATAGTTAAAGTTAAATAGGAGAAAATATAATGGACAGAGTTGATCACTCGATATAATTTCGATTTTCAACTTAATCCATGGATTTCATTCTCATTGATTTCGATTCACGTTAAATTCGTGATATTCATTACCTAATCTGTACATATTCTAAAAACAATTCTGCATTATGGAAATAATAAGAGTAATAAATCTTGCATTGTTTTTCAGACAGAAATGTAACCGGCAATACAAAGGAACTTAGAAATAAACGCTTTTATAAGTAAATATTGTTTTAAGCAAATTTTATAAGCAAATCAAATGCTTAATAATAATAAAAAAATTTTTTTGTTAAAGTTCCTTTCTAGTCTACAAAAATGAACAAGATAATAGGTATTTGATTGTGAAACGACTCATAGGAATTCATCTCGCCACTAAGTAATTTTATCTGATTAAAAAATTAAATAAATATTTTCACTTTTCTTTCAAACTTTCGTACATTTATCCTCATTTTCAAGAACGAGTGGAAGATAGAAATTTCAGTTTAACAAATCATCTACCATCTGTTCGTTCTTCAAAGAGTACTTCAATAATCCTTACGAATCATTCGTTTATTGGAGTACAACATCCGATCGTTAATTAGAGTTACCTATAAAAATTTAATAATTATGCCATCCTGCGACCGGGTAATTTGCCTAATTTGGGTAATAGCTGACCAATTTTCAAACTACCTTTAACCTTTGAAACCTCTTTAATAATTTTTCCAACGACTGTAAGAAGAAGAAGGAACGTGGAAATTGGCTAAAGGAATTTCGACACTGAAATATCGAGGCACATATGTACTGGAACACGCGAGCTTCCGTGTCTCGATTCGCGAGCATATTACGCGGTACCCGGAAGCGCGAAGAAAAGCTAGAAACACCGACGCGTCTGGTGTAATTAATCGACGTTGGAGGTAAGTAAACTCGGCTAATTGGATAAAAGCAAGCAACGAAGGAGGAAAGAGCATCGCGCGATTTCGCGCGCATACGCGATTTACTCCAGCGGGGGTTGGTTGATCGTTAAACGAGAAGATTTCCACCTCGTTTCCCCGTGATAATTTACAAACGAGTGGCTCGCGTGACTCGCCGCCTCTACGACCGGCTTAATATTTTTTCCACTAATCGCACAGCAACGTAAATTGCACCGAACGTGCGTCGTCTCGCGCTGCAATCGAGAAGCCAGAATCGCACTACATTTCTGGCTCCTCGAGGATGAAAAACTGGCTGAATTACTGGCAGAAAGGCGATGCAACAACGTTTGGGAAATATTGTGATAGGTGTTGATGAATGGGCGAGAGACACGTTTTAGGAGTAATAGGGTGTCTGAGGCGAACGCCATCGATTCAATTTTGGAGCCTGCGATTTGGCAAATTAAGGGGGCCTTTTGTAATTTGTCGAATTAAGCTTCTAATGTGATGAACTACTTAACGTTTCAACGTTTAAGAATTTTTTGTCCCAATATTGCAATATTTTCTCAGTTTTAAATATATTTAAGTAGAATTCAGGCAAAATAAACGATAAATTTATTACTAGTTCAAAGAGAAAGCACGAATTATTGTACACGGTTTGGTCACTCGTTATGGTCCGCAATCAGTTTGCCAGCACAAGTGGTTAAAATTTCAAAATTACCACCGCACAGAAATGGAGTTTCGAGATACGAAAATTGAAGGAAAGAGTGATTTGTCAAAAGCGATCCAAATTTACGAGCTCCGAAATTTACAAATTGTCTCCACTCGGAAACGGAGCTTGGACCACAATGCAAAAATTGGAGCGCATGACGGGTGTACCGAGGAATCCAACATAGACGACGATATTCACAAATTTCCTCCATCCGACAACTGTGAACTCTCTTTTCGCGAAAGCACGACCGTCGATTCGAAAATCGGAGCAGAGAGTGATTTACCAAAATTTCCAAGCTTCCCTTGGACTTTGTCCACACTCCCATGCGCTCTGACCTCTCCTCCTCTCCTCCTCAACTTTCCTCCTCTCCTCCTTTCCTTCTCTCGCCCTAAATCGCAAGAGTCCTAGCTCCGATATCCGCAGCTACTAGAAAAAAGAAAAAACGAGAGAGAGAGAGAGAGAGAGAGAGAGAAAAACCACGCTGCAGAACGTCGTTCCACGCGGAAGATCGCCGAGCGACGAGTACCTCAACACGCTGAAGCCATCCTCGCAACGAAAGGCGTGCTCGTGAAGGCGGAGTTCCGACATGCGCCTTGTCGAGTCTCCCGCCCATGAAAACCGGCTGAATCGACATGAAAGGCCCGAGTCCCTGAAGCGGATCCCCAATTGCCTGTGGTGCCAACGTCGCCAATGAAACGCTGGTATCCACCAGGGAACGTCTACCACTGGTGGAGCCAGTGCTTGCATCCACCGTGCAACGAGTGGCCTTCAGTGGGGGTAAAGGGTGTTTCCAGAAGGCGAGGCGAGCAATCGAGGATACGCGAGCTCCACTGCTGCGGTCGGTTCCCGCAGGTGAAGGAGCAAGAACGGCGCCGAAGAGTGACAGAAACGTGCTCGAACAGCTGAACGATGAAAGGAGAAGAAGGAACAAGGGAATCGACGGGGCAAGAGAGAGGGTCGATCCAAGTTCGTGAATGCCGAAATCGCCCGAACTGCTCCTCGGCGGGAGTTCGGTGCTGAGTCTCAGTCCTGCTGTGAACGCAGCAAGGAACGCCACGAGTGTTTCATCTTCGCACGACATTCGATACGTTTTCAAGGTGTGCACGCGAATGGTGTGTGTTCGTCGTCGTACGCTGAGGCGTATTCTCCTGCGTTCTCTTCCTTCTCTATGCGGAACATGCAACAGGAAACTGCGCTCGATGTTGATCGAGGGATGTCTCCGACGTAAGTAGAGAAAGACTGTTATTACACTTGGGTAAAGTCGTTGTTGTCTAGGTCGACGCGAAGGAAGAGAGTCTAGGCGCGCGAGACGCGCGAAGAGGTGACGTACACGAGGATTTTGTAGGACGGCTGGGACGCTCGGTGAAGTATACAGTGAGAAAAGTTCAGGAAACCGAAGGAACGAGACGCTAGTAGTGAACTGAAGTGAAATTGCTCGGACAGTGTACTTTACTAGTGATACAACCCCCTCAGTGTACAGGATTTTCAAACGATAACGTCAGCACTTCGGGAAACGTTTTGGGAAACACTCCGTCCATCAGCGAGGCACGAAAAGTGCTCCGCAAATAGAAATATGAACAAATCGTGTCTCAACTGAAAACTCTCGAACAGTCGCAACCGCCTCGTTCATCACAATGATGAACGCTTTCCTGGATGGCGTGTCCTCGCACCCACATCACCTGGCCAATCTGGGCATCAAACTGTCACCGAGCGGTGGTGGTGGTGCCACAGCGGGATCTGCAGACGCTGGCACAGGTGTTCAGCCAGCACCAGGTGAAGCACCATCTCAACAGCATCATCACTTTCACCCCCAAGGCTATCCCCCTCATCATCCCCATCCGGCCTCGCACATGGCACCGCACATGGGCCACCACATGAGCCATCACCCTGGCTACGCGGCTCGTGATTTCCTCCTTCGCCGGGAACATGAGTTCAACGCAACCGCGAACCCAACCACACCGGAGAGCGGTTTGGGACTGTTCACGCCGCTTCACGACGGTACAGCTGCCACCATGCAACAATTTCCACACCATCCGAGTCAACATCCACTGGCGGCCAGCCACTATCCCGGTCACTATCCGCAGGACTCGAGGTTACCGCCTCATCATCAGTACTTAGGCGCTCCTCATCTGACACCGGCGTCGATTCATCATCAGCAGCATCCAGCCGTTAGCCACCCGAGCCATCATCCACACGGCGCGTTCCTCAGGTACATGAGAAGCAACGGGAACGGCGCCGGTGCTGGAACGAGCGGCGTAGCCGGCGGCCAACGGCAAGAAATGTCCTGCATGTGGGTAGATCAGGACGCGCCCGGACCCGGAAGGAAGCTATGTGGCAAACTCTTCAACTCCCTCCACGATATCGTGACGCACCTCACGGTGGAGCACGTGGGCGGTCCCGAGTGCACGACGCACGCGTGTTTCTGGCAGGGCTGTTCGCGTAACGGCAGGGCCTTCAAGGCCAAGTACAAGCTCGTCAATCACATAAGGGTGCACACCGGTGAGAAACCATTTCCCTGCCCGTTCCCTGGCTGCGGCAAAGTCTTCGCCAGGTCGGAGAATCTGAAGATCCACAAGAGGACACACACTGGTAAGTGTCGTGCACGTGTTGTATACATTTTATTCACCATCGCGTCGTGATCGATTTTTGCTCTGATTTAAGGGTACGTTACTCGGTATTTGTTACTCGATAGTTTCAACAGTCTCCCAACTTTCTTCGTAGCTAACGTTCGAGTATCTGAGAAGATTCCTCGAACTCCTCGTACCGGATCAAATCAGTCGGTTCCACGATCCGGCACGTTCGTCCGTAACGTCCTAAACTTTTACCGAAAGCTAAATAATCGTGGGAAGACGAATACTCCTTGCGACAAATCCCATGTCGTGATCGAAACGAGAGAAAGGGTAGATTTGTCGATTAATTCAACAACGCACCTACGTGCGTGAAAGAGAAAACGAAACAGGGGCAGTCGAACAAAAAAGAACAACAAAGTCGCGCGGAAATCGCGACGATTTCCAGTGACAAAATGGTTAAACGTCAGAGAGAGAGAGACGTTATAAATAAAGGAGCGAGGGCAGTTAGCATCGCCTTCCCCTTCTGACTCCTCTGGACTCGGCTTATTTTGAACCAGCCTTCGATTTCGTCCACGAAACGCCCCCGGCGCCTACGCTCGTTTCAATACAATCAACCGGCTGTTTACGATGACAAGAATTTTTCGGGTCGCAATTAAGAAATTACCAGGCCGTATATCGTACCGTTTTATGCCCGCCGTTCCCGGACAATGTATTTACATACGGTTACACATGGACGCGGGGAGAACGAGGACGCGACAAGCTCGTCTCGTTGGCTCGGCACCCGACGGACAGACGCCAGGCGTCCACCCAGCCACACGGATCTTTCTCTCACGACCGGCTGCTGTTACGGGATTCCTTTCTCGACAGTCACTACTAATTTCACCTTGTAGTTTTATTGTCTGTCCGTTACCACGATGATCGTGTCTGCGCGCTTGAGCAACGTTCCTTCGTTTTTATTACTTCTCCTTCTTTTCTTTCTTTCTTTCTTTCTTTTTCTTCTTTTTCCTTTCATTTCAATTTATCCCCGCTCTCGGGGGGAGTATAACACGCCGGGGTCTTCGCGATTCGGTTTCTCGAAACCACGGGGACGCGTAAGTCCATTAGCGAGTGCATCTGTCGCTGGATGGACGTTGTTACTTGATTACACTTCGATACAGTAATCGAGGGGAGATTTTCCAGCCTCTACTTGGGTGTTCTTACGTACACGACGTTTACTGGTCTGTCTATGGATAATTCTGCGAATCGACGAAGTTTAAACGTTTTTTTCTCGCTATAGATTAACGTAAGGAAGCTGTAATTGAATTGTAAATATTCTATCGCATATTTCAGCGTACCGACCGTCCCCTCCCCTCGGCATTTCCGTTCGCACGGATTTCACACCTGCATCGTTTAACGACCCTCGCGTATCGCGTAGTAGCTGCTGTGCCTGTTTTCACGTTGAGTCGAACGAGAGCTGTCCGCTGGCCGTCGTCCGTCAATCGTGTCTGACTAGCGCCGGTTGAATCTCCTTCGCCGGTTGCCGGAACGAAATTAGTTGCGTCTCGTACGCGTTAGCCCATTAATGACCTTTGACACGTTCATAACGCTATGCGTATCAGATTGTAATATGTACACGTAATATACCTACATACAGTGAGCAACGAAAGTATTCGAACGGCATGATAGAAAATAACTGATTATACAAAAATTGTATAATAAATTGCAATTTATTGAAACAAATTGTCTTTGTACTATTGTATATACATTTGCTAAATGTATGAAAAGTTAGAGAAAAATTAAACCATAAGTAAACAAATTACATAACATTTTTCACGGATAAGTACGTATAAGGGATAACAAAAGTATTCGAACGCAATTTTAACAGTCACGATAGAATGCAATATATGTGATTATATTGCATTTTAATATCTAGTTGGGCCACCCTTGGCTTTAATAACCTCTCGAAGACGATTTTCTATACTATTGACTAACTTTTTGGTAACACTTGAATCCACAGAGTGCCACGTTGCTAGGATATTTTGTTTTAAAGAATCTTTACTCGTTATATTATTTCTTTTAAGTCTCCTATCGAGTTCTTCCCATAAATGTTCGATGGGATTTAAGTTAGGGCTCTGTGGTAGGCTGGGTAATGTATGGGGCACATTATCTAAGATCCATTCTTGTACTATTTTGGCTGTGTGTTTAGGGCCTGCTGGAAGCAAAAACTTCTTGACACATTTAATTTTTCAACACCATTGATTAAATTTTCTTTTAAAATATTTAAATATAATATAATACGAGATTTCCAGGCCCATTGACGGACATGCAGCCCCATACCATTACGGAGCCTCCATCATCTTTCACTGTAGACTTCAAATTTTTTGAAACCAACCACTTATTTGGCTTCCTCCATATTATTCTCTTACCATCGGACCCAAATAAATTGAATTTACTTTCATTCGAAAAAATAACAGTGTTCACAAAAATTTATGTCCTTATTTATATACTCTTTGGCAAATTTTAAACGAAGCAATTTATTCTTCTTGCTAGTGTATGGTTTCTCTCGTGGGACTCTACTATGGAAATTTCCCTAACATTCTTCGACATAATTGAGCGTGTACTTCTTGTATATTGAAATTTGTAAACAACCATTGTTGCCAATTTTGGAGCAGATGTAAATGGATCTTTATTTCACGCAGAAGCAATTTTTCTTTCCGTGGTGTTGATTTTTTTGGACGCCCAGATCTTTGTTCATTTCCAATATTTCCGTTCGTATTATACTTTTTTATTATATAATGAACTGTTGATTTGCTTCTGCTTACAAGAGAAGCAATTTCTTTATATGATTTACCCTCTTTGTGCAATTCAACAATAATTTCTCGTTCGATTTTACTTGTCTCTGATGTTTTACTACTCATTATTTTAAATTACAGGTTAACGTTTAACTTTCGGTTCGAGTTTACTTGTCTCTGATGTTTTACTACTCATTATTTTAAATTACAGGTTAACGTTTAACTTTCGGTTCCGTCTGCTCTCGAATACTGGCGGAAATGAAGATCTTTTGTTTACATTTAGACCTTGCGACAGTCTTATGTTTATAATGTATAGTGTTTGTAATTCAGCGTTCGAATACTTTTGTTATTGTCTTATATATGTACTTAACCGTGAAAAATGTTATGTAATTTGTTTACTTATTGTTTAATTTTTCTCTAACTTTGCATATATTTAGCAAATGTATAAATACAATAGTATAAAAACAATTTGTTTCAATAAATTGCAATTTATTATACAATTTTTGTATAATCAATTATTTTCTATCATGCCGTTCGAATACTTTTGTTGCTCACTGTATACACATTGTGAAATGTAAATGTATATGCATAATCGAAATGACACTAGGCAGACTGATTGTTGGGGATTCTTGAGAGACTTTTCTGTCGATTTTAATCAACGACGACTGCGACATTTTACCCACGAAATGTGTTTTATCACATAATTATTTAACATTACGTAGACACTTAACACGAAACATTATTCATGTCTCATACTGAACAATTATAATTATATGTTAAGTACAATTTCATGTATTTGTGGATGATCGATGTTAGTGTTAATTGCAGAAACTTGCAGCTTTCTACTTTGGAATGAAAATCGCGTTCTATAATTATCTGACATTATAAAAATATTTTATCCACGAAATATTATCCGCGCCTCATATACTTAACAATTATAATGTTAAGTGCAATTCCATGTATTTGTTGTCGTTGGTGTTTATTTACGAAAACCTGTAGCTTTCTACTTTGGAAAACACTGACTGTGAATTTCGTTTAATCACGGAACACACACAATTCAATTAAATCGCAAGAATGAATTTGAAAACGCTCGTCCTTTAGACAGATAAGTAAGAACGAAAGTTCTTCGGGGGGGAACTTTTCGAATATACAAAACCGGAGATTCCGTGCATGGAGATCCTCCTCGATATTTGCATCCGTCGAATTGGAATTTCCAAAATGCTCGTCACGTTCTTGCATTCGCGTCGACAGCGCGGCCCGACTAGGCGAGGAAAGAAATCAATTAAAATTCATTTAGTTGGCGCGTCGGTGAACGAATACGAGGCCCTCTTGCGACCCCTTTCGAAATAAATTGGCATTTTCAAAAAACGTTGCACGCACCGCTTCACGCTTTGTTTCCAGGCGTTCCCCGTTTCACGCGCGTGTACGCTCACGATGCCCCTTTATTGCCCTCGCCCTCCACCCTTCTTTCATCGTTCTCCGCCGCGATCAACGGACAAAAGCGACTCGGCGCTGAAATTCTTTGTTTTTTATTTTTATCGTGGAAACAGCTCGGACAAATATTTTGGCTCGCGCGAATTCACTGGTGTTACGCAACAATCTTCGTGAACGGGCATCGACGTGTTGCCCCGTTCACTCTGGAGAACAGAGGTCTGATTAAATTTGCTTGGCAAAACGTGGCAAAAGTGGTGCCTAAGGGAAAATTTCTCGAATCTTATACGAACTGTACTCGATTGAGGTTTTATTCATTTGGAGTTTAGGTGCAAGCCGTAATCAATTTCGTATCGCAAAAATTTAAAATTACTGGAAAATAAGTCTGCTTGGAGAGATATTTCTCTTCTCCCGAATTTCCAAATTCTCACGGCCAACATAGAGGCTTTAAACGTACAAAAATACAAATCCAAAAAAAAAAAAAAAAAAGAGAAAACAGGCCATTCCTGTCGCGATTATTAACACCTGGCGCGAAAAGTTCTCAGCAGATTGTTTTGCAATCGAGCCGAAAAGTTCTCGTGGAAACGTTCTCACCGAAGCTTCGCCGAAGAAGTTGGGGCAAAAGTATCCGCGCGGAAAGTTCGGCAAGACTGTATCCCACCGACAACAACCGTTTCCAAAGATTTTCTCTCCATTCTTTCAGCTACTCGATTCGAGAAGCCAACGTCTCCCTCTATTCGCCAGTTACGTTGCAAAGTGCGGAAATTCCAACGTTTATCAGATTTATCAGGAGCGTGTTACAAGCGTGCGATCATCG